GGCTAGATGCCAAACAAGCGTCATGCAGAGAGATGGGGTCATCACTATAACTAGTACTTGGTTCTAGGTTCGATACTTTTTTTCTGAGCCACTCTCCAACACCTCGCTCCATCGAAACCGTTTAGGGTTTAGGGTTTAGGATTTAGGGCTTAGGGTCCCTCGGTCCCTTCTTAGATTCAGGATTTCTGGAGCTTTTGCTCCCCGCAGCCTTGAAGCCCCCGAACCCAGATCTCTTAGGGGGTAGGCGCGTATTGAAGCTTCAACCACCTGAATCATTTCCATCGGCACTTCGGCCCCGCTAACTCACATTCAGATTCAGGGTTCATGGGGCATTCTGTCTGTCCGGCTTCGTTAGGGCGCTGCCCGCGTTCGGAACGGCCCCGGATTGCGAAGGAACTATCTGAGTATAGAGATGCAACACACTTCATATTCCGCGAGTAGAAGTCGAGCCTAGTGTAGGTGATTCCTGGCCGAAGAACTCAGGCTCCAGCAGTATAATTCCCAAAAGTGCACAGAAACAAACCCTTGAGTGCTGTTTACCAAAGCCGACATGAACTTACCGTTGAGAGGTTCAAGGTTTCAAATTGGGGTTGCGGGGAGGGGTGGGGGATTACAGCAACCTTCCCCTGCAAAATGAATAGAAATGTCTGCCGGCTCATCATGCCACGGACCCTGGCTTACAGCAAGCGCGCTTGCGCAAGGGTGTTTGCAGAGGCCGAGGCTCCCTCTAGTGTCCCTTGGTGCTCCAGGAGGTCTAACTTTACGAACAAAAGTGGCGGAGGTCCGAGTTTACAAACAAACTCAGCTCTGAAGTGCTTGTCCGCAGGTGTGGAATTAGGAAACTCTTCCTTCCTTCCTTCCTTCCTTCCTTCCTTCCTTCCTGCCTTCCAGCGCATGAGATCCCCGAAGTGAACGCCCCCTCTCTCTCTCGCGCTCTCGCTCTCTCTCTGACTCTCTCTCTCTCTCTCTCTGACTCTCTCTATCTCTCTCTCTCTCTCTCCGCAGCACTCCGCATAGTTAAAACCCAAGTTTCTTATAGACGAGAGTGCACATATGCAGGTGCGGATCCGCATTGTATGCGTGCACAAGTACAACAGCCTCACTCTTTTGCATAGCTTATCCCTAAACTCCAAACCCTAACCCCTAAATCTAAGAAGGCGCGAAGGCAGGCCTCCCCAAGCCCTGATCCCCCCCCCCCCCCCCCCCCCCCCCCCCCCCCCCCCCCCCCCCCCAGCCAGCTCCTGGTGCTGCTGCCGCTGAAGCACCATCTGCATCTCCAGGTGCTGCAGGTTGTGGCCCAACTGTGCTACCTGGAACTGATCTAGGGGTTGTACCTTAGCTTTCTTAAAGATCCACTATAGGAATATAGGGGCCATATTAGGAGTATATTACGGGAACTCCTTGGGGTATATCCTCAGGGGTCAAAATCTAACTCCCCCGACTTCATCCCGTGCGCATGCTGCGCATCATGGCTGGACTGCTTTTGTGGGGGGCGGGGGGGGGAGGGGGGAACCCTCAACTCGCCTGCTGAAGCACATGAACCCTTAACCCTAAATTAAACCCTTTCCCCGACATGAATACATATATAATAAATGACTTTATAAATAAATAAATAAGTCAGGAAATAAATAAATAAATAAATATATATATATATATATATTATTTTTCATTTATTTGTATATATATATATTCATATTTGTGTGTCTACATATATATATATACATATATATATATATATATGGTAGTTTATGTATATATATATATACATATACATATGCGACATATACTATGTCTTATAACCTGGGTTGTTTATCCTGACGTGGATCCGATGCCGCGAGAGTCCGGAAAGTCAGAGACACCATATCTTCTATGTATACAATATTTTCCTGTTTATCAACCCGAAACCATCCTTCGAAGTGCTGGCAGGGGGACGGCGGCCATCTGCGAGGCGATCTGCGAGAGCTGGGCCTGCCGGGGATTCTCTTGGGCTTTTGGGGGATTTTAGGGTTTAGGATTTAGGGTTTAGGGCCATAGAACAACATGATAAGATGATAGTTACCCTATTTACAATACAACATAAAACATACGAACATGAAACTAGATCAATAATCTAAACATATAAACATATCAATCTAACAATAACAAGTCTCAAGTGCACAGCACCTGCGCGCTCTGCAGCTGATGCTCCATCAGGCCCATGCCTGAGCAGAGGTACGAAGCCTTCGGGTTGAAAGGGGTCATTTAGGGTTTAGGGTTTAGGGTTTAGGGTTTCGGGTTTAGGGCTTAAGATTTAGGGTGTCGGGCATAGTGTAGGCTGGTTTAGGACTCCGTCCACTAGGACTTGAGCGCCCTAAGCCCTGCACTGCGAACCAACTCTAAACCCTCAGCCCGGTTTAAGACACACACAGAAAACCCTTCAATTCACTTCGTGCTACATAAGCTGAGTGACAACCCATGTCAAAGCATCGTTCGCTTCGCTTTCGTCTTCAGAGAGAATTGATGAGGGAAGAAGTAGAACATCACATACAAGCCAAAAAACACCCGTCATCATTTTTTACGAAAGCCTAGCGCATTCCTTGTAATTCATTCCAGATAAAGAAGCACAGAACGGCCAGGCCAAAGACTCCCAAAAAGAGATTGCTTGACTTGCACCCCGCCCTGAACACCCTCCTGAAGGGTCGATGCGTATTTCTGGGGGGGGAAGCCCTCGAATCCTGCCATTCCAAGCCTACAACAACCCAAACCCAAACCCTGCAAATGATTACATGGGTTTTGTTTAGGGTTTAGGGCTTAGAGTTTTGGGTTCAGGGTTTAGGGTTTAGGGGATTTCTTCCCAACACCAATCAGTGCACGACGAACTGCTTGCCCATAACCCTGAACTTTCACCACCCTTCGCCCCAAAGCCTTGACAACCCCCCCAGACCCCACCCCATTGCGTTCCCCTGAACCCTCAAAAGCCTGAACCCCTCAACTTCCTCAACCCTCAACTTCCTAAACCCTAAACCCTAAACCGTAAACCCTAAATCCTAAACAATAAACCCTAAACCCTAAACCCGAAACCCTAGGGCCTAAACAACCCTCTTCTCCCCACTGCGTGCCCAGCTTCGGGCGCTGAGGGCTCCGACGTCGCTCCAGTGCTCCGGCGTCGAAACTTCGGGCGGGTCCACCTGGGGACTTAGGGTTGAGGGGGGTTTGGGTTCAGGGTTCAGGGTTCAGGGTTCAGGTTTCAGGGTTCAGGGTTTAGGGTATAGGGGGTTTGGGTTTAGGGTTTGGGGTTTAGGGGGGTTGAGGTGTAGGGGGTTTAGGGGGTTGAGGTTTAGGGTTTAGGGTTTAGGGGGTTTAGGGTTCAGGGTTTGGCCGGTCTGTCAGAGGATCCGAAGTATGGGCCCTGAATTTGGGTCCCCTGTTAGATAACCCTATAAACTGCAACCCTTACAGGCCCATGGTTCCAAACTTAGAACCTCAGGGGGTCCTACTTGCAGGTTCATGGGGACCTAGGCTTTAAAAAAGTTGGGGTTTGGGGGTTCAGGCTTTCCGAAAACCCTACATAAAGAATATGGCCAGCTATAAACTGTACTTTTCTTACTTCACACCCCACTTGTGACTACCCCTCACTTATGACCCCACCTCTGACTACCCATGAATCTCGGCAAAGATGAGGGGTTGAGGAGCCCTAGGTTTACACAGGGTTTGGGGGTCTAGCGCACTGAGGGTTGATCAGGTTGTGTATGTATATATATATATACATATATATATATATTAACATGCATACGGGCGAGTGCTTAGAGTTGAGGCATTTAGGCTCCCAAATAAGGAAGAAAAAGAGAACCTGCTAAGAGCCACGTGCAGACAGGTAGTTCGTCTAGCCAAGACGTGTGATGCAAGACGCGCAAAGCACCAAAATGCTCTCCAATCCACCCCTTGCATTTTTCTATCAGGGTAATGAATACCAGTTAATGACAAGTGACAAAAATTAATAATGTGCCCCCTGTAGAAGACTGCAGAAACCCGGGTGTTGTCCGCCTGTTCCCAGTCTCCCATGGCGTCTTCGGGGTCTGCAAACGCGAAGTCCAGCCCAACCGCTGGAGCCATTCGAGGGCGAGCTGCAGCAGTGGCAGCAGCAGGTGGGTACCCAAAACCCTCAACCCTAAGTCCTGCAGTAGTCCCCGAAACAAAACCCCTTTAGCAGAAGCAGCGTGCCTCAACCCAGCCATATACAAGCCATGGGGTGTTCAGCCAGACAAAATCTCAAGTCCCCTGAATGAAGACCTGTTAGAAGCCGAATTGATAGCCTTGCATTGGAAACATGAACATCTATGCCAGACTGCCAGTGAGCCAGCAAGGACACCCGCGTGGCCGCGATGGATTCAGGCTGTGAGGGTTTACTCACAGGGAAGAAGTAGGGCTTTGATTGGGCGTGTTTAGGGACACTCAAGGCTTTTAGGGTTGAAGCTCTGGGGTCCAAATTCCGCAACCTTTGACTCCCAAAGCCCCTACCCAACCCAAGTCAACCCTTAAACCCTAGAACCCTAAATCCCTAAACCCCAAACCCCAAACCCTAAACCCTAAATCCTAATCCGAATAAACCCTAAACCCCAGACCAAGAGGGGGGTGTTTCGGCTTCAGTGTTTTTGCTATCTGGGGGTGCACACACTACATTCTGATATTGTTCCGAAAAGCGTCGGGCAACAAAGCCCTAAAACCCTAAACCCTGAAACTCTGAAGGCCCAAATTCTAAAACCTGAAGCCCTAAACCCCTAAACCACATCAGTCCCGCCCCCCAATCCAAGGGCGCCCTTTGTGCGTAAAGAGGTCCCAAGAGAATTTCTTGGCCCTAACAGGCCATACGAAAGCTGCTAAACCCTAAACACTAAACCCTAAACCCTGCACCCTGCACCCTAAACCCTAGACCCTTAACAAACAAAACTCAACCCTAATCCCCACGGCGGACACTAAGGTTGCAGGGCACTTCCCCAGCATATTTTCTGCCACCAGCGGCGTCACAATCCCGGCTTGCTGAGTGCGCCCCAGAGGCGGCCACACCTGAAAGATCAGGGTGGGTTTAGGGTTTAGGGTTTAGGGTTTAGGGTTTAGGGTTTAGGGTTTAGGGTTTAGGGTTTAGGGTTCAGGGTTCAGGGTTTAGGGTCTGGGGTTTAGGGTTTAGGGTTCAGGGCTTAGGGTTCAGGGTTATGTAAGAAGAGTTTAACATAGGGGTCAGAATAAGTACCAATCGCATTCCCTTATTGTCCCTGTTGATCATGCACAACGGGGGGACCCTGGGCGTGCGCCTCCTGTGCATTACGGTTAGAAAACAAAAAACTGAAAAAACAAAAATATTTCAGAATCAACCAATATTGCCAAACTACGAGCAATGAAGACTATGCCAAAATATCAGAACATCGAACAAACCATGCATTTACAACAAGAATGATATGACACTTGATAATATTAAGAATGCTCTGGCCTTTAACAATATGAAATATTGGTTTTTGTTTCCAAGCTTCTTTGGTTTTCTAACCGTGAAGATTTACACAGGAGACCCACGCCCAGGGTCGCCTGTTTTGTTTTGTAACCCCTTCTAAGCATTCCCTCATGGCCGATATGTTACTCGAATGGATATTCAAAAAAAGGAGGTGATGTTGGTAATCATTTTAATTTAAACCCTCGGTACTCGAATCTGTCATGAGGACCCGGGTTTACAAGTTTCTAAGGTTTGAAGGCATCAGGCGGGATCAAGGTTCAGCGTCTAGAGCCTATGCAGGATTTAAAGTACTCTGTGTTAGGATTTTAGGGCACAACTCAAAACCCCAAAACCCCAAACCCTAAACCCCAGACCCTAAACCCCAAACCCTAAACCCCAAACCCTAAATAACCCTAAACCCTAACCCTAAACCCCAACCCCAAACTCTTAAGCCATGCACTCTACGCATGGCAATGCTCCAGGGCTGGTCATTATTCTTCCCTGTCTGTGTCTTGGGGGATGGCTTGGGGGTTCGGGGTTTGGGGCTTGGGGTTTAGGGGTTGGGGCTTCTTGGGGGGTTGGAGGTTCAGGGTTTCGAGCTGCCTTCCCCATACGTAAGATGAGGGCAAGTTTAGGGTTTTAGGGTTGAAGTTTAGGGTTCCTCGGTCTGGGGTTGGTAGCTGGTAGCGCTTTTTTGGAGACATGAGTACCCTAAACGGGCTGAATACCCAGCCCACAAAAGGTGAACCTTTCATACGTAATAGGATTCTATATAACCAAAAATGTCAAAGGTTACCTACCCCCTGAACCCTAAACCCTAAACCCTATACCCACTACAAGACTCTACAAGTGATTGAGGGAGCTCAGGCAGGTGTGAAACTCGTGAAAGCTGGCCGGGGAAGATCTGGTCCGGGCCGCTATACCCTCTAGCCTATAACCTCAGGGTTTAGGGTTTAGGGTTTAGGGTTTAGGGTTTAGGATTTCGTCGCGCATGTAAGCCCGAAGATCAACCTGATGAACCCTACCCATTACCCTGCAAACTGGGCTTGCAAGCTGCTGCGGGGCTGGCCTTTTTGCTCTTTTGGAGGTTGGCGCTCAGCATTAGAGGCATTAGAGGTTCCAGAATTTCTGGAAATCGGAATTCCTTCACGGATTTCGTTCAGGCCAGAGGATGTGCTTCTCTCCTCAGCTGATCTTGTGCTGCACTGCTGTCACCTCCGTACTCAGCATGTCCCCAGGTCACCACAGATCCATCAGCCCGGATCGCAGCAAACGCCTGATCAGAAGCTTGCACCTGCTGCACGTTCTTGAGCTGATCTTGTACGACACTGCTGTCGCCTCCGTACTCAGCCTTGCCCCAAGCCACCACAGATCCATCAGCCAGGATCGCAGCAAATGCCCCTGCAGAAGCTTGCACCTGCTGCACGTTCTTGAGCTGCTCTTGTACGGCACTGCTGTCGCCTCCGAATTCAGCATCACCCCAAGTCACCACACATCCATCGGCACGAATGGCGGCAAGGGCTGATGAAGCTTGCACCTGCTGCACGTTCTTGAGCTGCTCGTGTACGGCACTGACGTCGCCACCAACACCTTTATCGCCCCAAGCCACCACAGATCCATCAGCCAGGATCGCCGCAAATGTCCCTGCAGAAGCTTGCACCTGCTGCACGTTCTTGAGCTGCTCTTGTACGGCACTGCTGTCGCCTCCGTATTCAGCATCACCCCAAGTCACCACACATCCATCGGCACGAATGGCGGCAAAAGCCAAGCTTGAAGCCTGCACCTGCTGCACGTTCTGGAGCTGATGTTGCACGGCACTGCTGTCGCCGCCATAGCCAGCACGTCCCCAGGTCACCACAGATCCATCAGCCCGGATCGCAGCAAACGCCCGATCAGAAGCTTGCACCTGCTGCACGTTCTTGAGCTGATCTTGTATGACACTGCTGTCGCCTCCGTCTTCAGCCTTGCCCCAAGCCACCACAGATCCATCAGCCCGAATGGCGGCAAAAGTTGATAATGAAGCTTGCACCTGCTTCACGTTCCTGAGCTGCTCTTGTACAGCACTGCTGTCACCTCCGTAATCAGCATGTCCCCAGGTCACCACAGATCCATCAGCCAGGATCGCAACAAACGCCCGATCAGAAGCTTGCACCTGCTGCACGTTCTTGAGCTGATCTTGTACGACACTGCTGTCGCCTCCGCATTCAGCATCACCCCAAGTCACCACACATCCATCGGCCCGAATGGCGGCAAAAGCAAAGCTTGAAGCCTGCACCTGCAGCACGTTCTGGAGCTGATCTTGCACGGCACTGCTGTCGCCGCCACAGCTTTCATGGCCCCAGGTCACCACCGATCCATCACCCAAGAGTGCAGCAAAGGCAGATTGCCCTAGCCAGGGGGACTCTTTTAAAGCTTTAAGTTGAACCTGTCCGACATGCAGGGTCAGCACGTCGTTGTCTTGCAACTTCGCTCGCTTGACTGTACCTCCGGCCAGCATATCGCCAGAGGTTGTCAGCAGCCTTCCCTTGCCAACTCCTAGAGCGCCCTGGGCTCTTTGGCGCAAGCTGGTGACAGACTCTTCTGGCTCCGTTGCCAAAGTCAGGCTCTTGCCAGTCAAGAGGTGCACATGGACTGAAAGCGCCATGATGCCCGCCTGAGGCGCCCGCCGTGCTACTAAGCCGATCCTGCTGCGAGGTCTCGCAGCGCGTAAACTCAGAGCTGGTTAGAAGTCACGACAGTTTTGCTCAAAGGGTTTAGGGGCTCTGCGTGGGGGATTTCTGCTTCGTCGCTGAAGTCCACCCATTGAAAAAGGCAAGAAACTACCTAAAGCGACTTAGACTGAAGGCTCGTAGAACATAAACTGACATGCATAGCCAAGCTGTGTACATAAATTTTATAATGATCAGATTATGCACAAACATCTTTTGGCCCCTCCTCCCAGAACCCAAGGCCGATGTTTTTTTCATTTTCGAGTTTGCAGGTTTAGGATTTCACACAGTTCGGCCCCTTAGACTGTTAGTGTGATGGCCCCGAGGGCGATTGAATGTCAAGCCTTAATCTTGCATTGTGTTTCAGGGGCTTGAGGTTTAGGATCAAAGCCTAAAACCTACGTAATATAAGCCAAGTCCTGATCCCAACTTTATATGGAAACTCCGTTGTTTTTGTCTCCTTCGCCTACCCTAAACCCTAAACCCTAAACCCCAAACCCTAAACCCTGAACCCTCATACATCTGCACACGGCTGCCAAAGGGCCAGCTCGTACACGTCCAAGCGAGGCAGCACGGTGCTGGCCGAGGACTCCAGACGCAAGCCAAACCTGGTAGGGCTCGGGGATTAGGGATTAGGGATTAGGGTTTAGGGTTTAGGGTCTAGGGTTTAGGGTTTAGGGTCTAGGGTTTAGGCCCCAGATCCTGACCGTACAACTGTAAAGGGTTTAAGGTCAGGAGGAAGGTTGAGGGTGCGAGAAACGGGAGGAGGGGAACCCAACGCCGCGGATCCTTTAACGCCCTTAAGCCTAGCCAATTCTGCATCTTAAACGCAAGGCCCTTTCGGGACTCCCTATAAAATCCTAAACCCGATAACCCTAAACCCTAAACCCTCAACCCTCAACCCTTCCCTATAAAAGCCCTAAACGCTATAAACCCTAACTCCTAAACCCTCTCAAGCAAATGGCGCCTGGCAGGATGGGCCCGCAACTCCTGCGGAGGATCCTTGGCTTTGAGATACTTGAAGGTTCATGGGTTTAGGGTTTAGGGTTTAGGGTTTAGGGCTACTTGAGGGTTCATGGTAGCTATAAGTAGGGTTACAAGTACTCGGAATAAGGTTTTAACCAGCTACAAGCATAAGTCCATATCTTACCTATAACCTGACTTCTAACTACCCACGAACCCCCGAGTAGCAGGGTTTGGGATGTCGTGGTTCGGGGATGAATAACGATTTAGGGTTCACATGTTTACACTTTTTTAGGGCTGCAGTTTGGGCAATGAGGGTTGACAATGCTTAGTTTAAGATTTGTGCATGTTAAGCCTTTTAGCTTAGGAGCGTAGGTCTCATAGAGGCTAGGGATATGGACATCGACCTCAAAGCTCAAGGAACTCTAACACCGGCACCCTAAACCACCCCTCATCCCGGGGTAGTGCCTGAATTCTTGGGCACTGCCCATCACCGAAAAGGAGATACTGCAATGTGTTGTCGAGTCCACCTTTTAGGAACTCTGCTAGTCGCGCCGTGCTCCTCGTGTTTGCCGGCGTGCGCGTGTGGGACGACCCTTGAATTGTCGGGACACATACTTTTAGATTCTCTAGCTAAGCCGACTCTTTTGCTTGCTTCCCCTGCTTAGTATAATGAGGGATCATAGGGGGAAGAGTTGTGGATCTGAGAAGTTGGCAGTCTTGCCAAGTGGTCTTCCAAGACTGCGGGGGTGCGGGGGGTGAAGAAAGTACGGCCGGAAGGGCTGCCTGGTTTACAGGCCGAGGGCTCCCCGGTCGACCAAGCAGCAGGGTGAACCCCGTGCGAAACATCAACGATACCAGCCATTCTTACTGCTCCAATACTAGAGGGCCTTAATGCACGGCAACGCAGAGCGAAGGTTCTACATGCTTGTTTCCGCTCATTCTTATTTACTACTTTGAAAGGAATGAAAAATAATCATCCTTAGATTACTGTTAATAAGGAAGAATACGTTTATTTTTCGGAGTTCTTCAGCAATTTGTAGTTCTTGGGCGGGTACACCGGAGTGGCCAACCCTGGCTTCCCACATCACCGGTAGCTTCGTTGGACGCAGTCCCAGTGGTGAGCTGCGGGGCCCTGTTTCTGAGTCTTAGTTGCTGATTCATGAGCCCCCCAAAAGTGTACACTTGCAGTTCTATAGGGGATTGTAGTATCCCAAAAAGTGCAAAGTGTACTCACTCAGCTACTAAGGATTGTAAGTTGTTTCATCCCGAGTGTTCCAGGGTTGCCCACACACACATAAAACCTAAACCCTACAAGCCCTAAGCCCTAAACCCTAAGCCCTAAACCCTACAAGCCCGCAGCCCTAACCCCTAAAACCGCAACCCTACAACCCTATACAAGCCCTAAGCCCTAAATCCTATAAACCCTAAAGCCCGGCTTTTTACCCTAAACCCTAAACCCAAAGCCCTACCAAGACCAAGCCCCAGCGGCTGCCACCAGCAGCTTGGCACCCGGCCGGAGCCGCCCCGGAAGCCTCCGCCATGTCAACGGTTGTTTGGGGTTTCGGGTCTAGGCTGCTGGGGTCCCGAGCTTGTCGGAGTGTAGGTGACGGCTCTACTTGCAGACTCGTTCGGTGCCCACGCGCGTGCGCGCGCGCTGCGCATGATTGCGCTTTGCGGCTACCGGGTCCGGCTGGAGAGTTTCTTGTTTGTTGTGACCACTTTAGGCCGCAATTCTGTAGCTGTAGCCACCTTTCACATGCATATGTAGGGGTTTTCACGAACCCAAATCTGACCTCAGCATCTCGAAAGCTCTAAGCCCCAAAATCCTGTGGCCTTCTGACCCCAAGCCGCAAGCCTACACCGTGAAACAAAGGTGTGCGTTCGTATGCGTTGGAAACTATTTCGTAAGCCATTCAAGGCTAAAGCTGTATACATACCTGTGTAGACACACACAAACATATTTACATTCTGTGATTTGGTTGTCAACCAGCAAGCCCCAAACTCGACGCTGAAGCACTTAACCCCTACGCCACAAATCCAAAACCCTTTAAAAAATAGAGAATCCCAAATCTTACACCCCATGCGCTAGAAGCCCGGAAAGGCCATGAACCCCCAGAACCTTCAAAACCTTAAAGGCCGGCCCCTGACTCCGAGCCGCACGTCTCTGAGCAGCTTCCGCGTGGCCTCCTAGAGAGGTTGCTTGATTGTTTATTTAGCAGCCATGGATATCGGATGTTAGCGGGTTCAGGTTGAGGGTTTAAGTTTGGGCGTCTTGTAGGGCTTACATAACTTACATGCAGTCTTGAAGATTTAAGATTCAAGGCGGATGCCCTCGTTCGTGCCCTCAAGCGCATCATGTTACATGTATTTTCATCTGCCCATCTGGGCAGTGTCGAGCTCACGCCATGACTTCATCGTGCACACTTCGACTCGGCTACTCTATGCACGGGGTGTCCCCCCAAGCACGGGTAAGACACTTGATGCATGCATCAACGCACACCCCCTTGTCGTGAGTTGAAGGCCACACTGCAGGATAAACGAACGACGCCTAGCCATCATCGACCACTGCCACCCTTTGGCTGGGCCTTGTCAACAAAACACCAAGTTTGGCTGCGGCTGAATCGCACGCTTTTTGCAACGTTTGAATGATACCATGCTCCCTTGATTGCTTGTGTCCTCCCATACGCCATATTTCAATCAAGCGTTGCGAGCGAGACTCCAAATAGGTTTGGTTCAGCGACGTGGCAGTCCAGGCGAAGCTTGGCCAACCCCGGTATCTAAACCTTAAACCCTAAACCCTAAACCCCTTAACCCTTAAACCCCCTAGACCCCTAAACCCCCTAACCCCTAAACCCCTAGACCCCTAAACCCCTAAACCCCAAATGGCCCCATTGGTCTGTAGCATCCCGAACCCGCCCTTGCACGGTTTCGTGAGGCTCCGAGGCGTCGATGTCCATGTAGCTATCCCTTTAGGGTTTAGGGTTTAGGGTTTGGGGTATGGGGTATGGGGTTTGGGGTTTGGGGTTTGGGGTTTAGGGTTCCAAAAGTGGCATCATTTCTGCGGTTCATCAGTCCAGACCACCTCAAGAAGGCGAGGAAAAACACGAAGGGGGAAATTCTTAGGGGTTTGGAAGGGTTTAGGGTTTTGGTTTAGGGTTTAGGGTTTAGGGTTTAGGGTTTAGGGTTTAGGGTTTAGGGTTTGGGGTTTAGGGTTTAGGGTTTAGGGGTTTACCTGAAGGGCTCTGCGTGAAGTGTCCTGGGGGAAGTAGAGAAACACGATGTCCGCCGCTGCCAAGTCAACCGTCGCCAGATCCTTCGACCGCGCTGCTTGAAGGCTCATGGGTACTTACAAGCAGGGCTATTAGTAGCTTGGGCAACAGCAGATCTTCCCAATGGTAGTTGAACGTAGGGTTTGAAGCACTAATGCCTTGCAGGTTTACTTCGAGTTTATTGAGGCCTAATAGCTACGAGTCTCCGAAAACGTAGTTCCCGTCCGCACAAGCTCCAGGGGGCCTTTTTGGCGTTCCCCCCAAACCCTATCCCTTCGGTTACAACCCCCCCCCCCCTCCTCCCCTCTCCTCCTCCCCAACTCTGGGGCATAGTGAAATCCTGAGCCCCGGGAAGCCCTTTACCAGGTAGCCCCGGCAACCATCCTCGGGTCCTCGTTATGATACCTGAGCCTCTTTCTTCAGCTAGATTCGTTTGCTACAGGGGCACGGTTCCTTTTGTACCGGAACTGAGAACCCAAAAAGAGTAAGTACCATGCGACTTTCTGGCTCAACTCCCCACCCTACGCTCGTAGGGTAGTTTCATGGTCCCTTCATATGGGCCGCTTAAGGGCCCGGCAGCTTATACATACCCCTTATACCCCGTACAACCCAAGGGCCCATACTTCAGAACCTGTTAAAGGAGGTAAGGGACTACCTTAAGGGCCCGTGAAACTACCCTTAGACCCCCCCTCCCCCCTAGGAAACGTGGCCGTGGCAACCAGGGCACAGCTTGTATGAAGTGGACACGGCCTGGTTTGAGGCCGGGGAGGGGGGGGGTGGGGTGGGTGGGGCCTCCTTTCTTGATCCTGGAGTGCTACTAAGCTGCGGGTGGATAAAGTTACAGGTCAGACTCAGGCTTTGAAGTACCTGGTGTCTAGTAAGCCGCGCTTGAATCACCCTAGAGAGCCCCGGAAAGGCTCCCAGCCCATGTGCCTCATCTCGCAACCTTCCCTCAAAGGCCCCTAAAGAGCCTCTTCTAAGAGCCCTGATTCCTCAAAACCCTAAGGCCCCGTTCTCGGGGGGCTTGTGGCCATGCTGCTAGAAATTTGCTAGAAATTCGCATCCTGGTGCCCATAAGCCCCAGCGCTCAATCCGCCCCAGGCCCTGAAATTGTCCGGGGTCTCGGGCCTTGGGCGCCCTAAAGCCCCCAAAACTTTGGTAAGAACAAACGTAAGAGAGAGAGAGAGAGAGAGAGAGAGCCCTAAGCCATAAGAGCCCTAAATCCCTGAAATCCCTAGCCCTAAGGCACTAAGGTTGCACGCTGGGCCGAGGCCAAGGCTGTACTTAGAGCATTCTGGGTTTAGGGTGGAGCCACTCACAAACCCAAACCTAAACCCCAAACCCTGAACCCTAAACCCCCCTGCACGAACCCTAACCTTTGAGCCGTCCTCCACCTCGTACCCGATCAACCCTGGCAAACAAAACCCACCCAAATACTCGGCCCCAGAGTACCCTGAGAATAAAATGGGCGCCCTTTTTTGGTTTAGGGTTTAGGGTTTAGGGTTTAGGGTTTAGGGTTTAGGGTTTAGGGTTTAGGGTTTAGGGGTTAAAGGGCCTTATAATGGGAACTTGACTACTCTGGGTCCCAAAATAACACTGACACGCCTCGCAAGCTTTCCGGAACCAACTCGTCACTCTGCCGAAAGAGCTCTCCGTCAACCTCCACGCCAACCTCGCCGGATTTCGAGGAGGTTCTCTGGGGTTTGAGTAACCCTAAACCCTAAACCCTAAACCCTAAACCCTGAACCCTGAACCCTAAACCCTAAACCTAAACCCTGGACCCTAAACCCTAAACCCTAAACCCCAAACCACGGATGTAGGGCTCTGAACTGGTTTGGGGTTTAAAGGCCTTTGGGGTTTAGGATCGTGAGCTTTTTTGAGTTTGAACGGGCTTTCGGGGCTTCTTAGGGGTTTGGGTGGTTTAGGGTTTTAGGGCTTTAGGGCTTTAGGGGTTCAGGAGCTGGGTTTCGTGGCTAGTAGTTTGGGTGGTTTCGGGCTTCAGAAGAGGTTTCGGATCTTAAGGGTGGAGGTTCAAGCTCCTTGCGCGTTCTGAATTAAACCCTAAACCCCTGTAAGCCCTCTAACCCTCTAAACTGCATCCCCTGCCACCTAACTCCCCTCAACCCTGCACCAGGTTGCTTGGTAGCCCAGCAACCATATTGCAATAGGGGTACCTTTTTTTGGGTTGGTTACTTTATAAGGGAACCTCGAACCCAAAGAGGGACAAGCCACGCCACGGATGCCCAGTCGTCGCGCCACCTCGGCCCGATTTGGGGCAGTATGGGGCAGTATGGGGCAGTATAGGGCTATAAGATGCAAAACATACACAATTGAAGTGTTGTGTACATAGGGTTTGGGGCTGTGTAAAGCTATGTGAGGCCGCAAGTAAGATGTCGCCTTCTTTTCGTAAGGATACAGGGCTTGAGTCTGGGAACAGGATGATGGGGTGCTGCAGCACAGGGGTTAAAGCTCATAGGGTTGCAGCGCGATCAGGGAGGGTTTGTGGTTGGATGACAGTTATGGAGAGGCTCCAACTTGGTTTACCCTCAGGCCTCAACCCTATACCTTAAACCCTGAACCCGGAACCCTATAAAGGAGGCCCTGAGATAGGGCATCACCGAAATGAATACTTCTTGGGGTTTCCTATACTCCCCTTAGAACCTTCACAAACATAATACGTGTAATATCCTCGTGGTCTTTATATAAACAAACATAAACAAATAATTCCCCAGGGTGATATAGTTTCCTCTGCCGACATGGAACCCTAGTTTGGAGAGGCGCCGTAAAGCGAAGCCCTCAACCACCCGAGCCAAGACACCTGTGCCGAAACCCTAGTTTAGGGTTCAGGGCCCTAAACCCTAAACCCGAAACCCCAACCCTAAACTCAATCTAGGGTTCCAGGGTGAGGTTCAGGACCCTGAACCCTAAATCCACGCCGCCTCTGTCACCACACGGCCATCCCCACTACCCAGGTCCACAAAGAGCGGTGAAGGTGAGGTGATGTCGATGTCCTGCTCCGTACGTTCAGGGTCGAGGGTTCAGGGTTGAGAGGGTTCAGGTTTTGGGGAAGGTTCATCGGCAGTAATACATAGAGCAAAGCAGTGCCTTAAATTAGGTTATAACCACCTGTAAGTATAGTTACCCTAAATAGGGTTATATCCACGTAAAAACAGAGTTACCTTACCCATAGACCCAGGAACCTCCAAGTAGAGCTACTCCAAGGCATGTGAGTTCCAAAAGAATGCAATCCCAGCTCTCTTGAACTCCCACCCTAAACTGCAAACTCTACACCCTAAATTCCTCATTGTCATCCCTAAACTTTGCACCCCAGGCACCTAATGACATCCAACAATCTTCGAAGCCTGCATTCAAAAGGAGAGCGGACAGGGCGTATTGAGGTTCAGTGGCCCTCATGGTTTTCGTGGGGTCGGTTTACCTGTGTCTCAGAACAACTTCGAGGGCACTACACTGAAGAGGGTACTGCAGGAGCAGGCGCGGGTTTTTTTAGCACCCTCTTTTGCGTGAACCTCTTCTGGATGTGAAGAGTGCAAAGCTTACACTTGGAGGCTCAGGGGTAGTTTTACGTGGGGTTAGAAGTAAGGTAACTATAGACCTTGTGCTTATAATAACCCCACTTATAGATCAGTGCGCCGCGCGCTTGCCATTAAATTTTGCAGGGCCCCTTGGTCGAAGTCCCTCTATTGAAAGGAGCGGGGCTACGTAAAGTTACCTGCAAGCGTGGGCCCCAAATTAGAACAACCCCCCCTCACATAAACTCCAGAGCCCAAGTCTTTCACACCCCAAGCTTAAACTCTGAACCCGAAACCCTAAACCCTACACCCTTCACCCTCAACCCTAAACCCCTACACCCCTAAACCCGAAACCCCTACACCCTAAACCCTAAACCCCTCAACCCTAAGCCCGGTAGGTCAGCCCGGGGCCTGCAGTAGCCGCACCAGCTCCAAGATCAGCTCCTGACAACCCTTGGCATGTAAGACCTCACTAAGGGCCCCCATAAGCATCCCTATACTTCTCAAAAAGGGCCTCGGGGGTTTAGGGTTTAGGGTTTAGGGTTTAGGGTTTAGGGTTTAGGGTTTAGGGTTTAGGGTTTAGGGTTGGGGGCGGGCGGGACCGGAAGGGGGGGGGGGGGGTACTACAATAAGGAGGGAGAGGGAAAGGCCCACTTGGAGTCCCTTGAAGCCGACAAAAAGACCCCTGAAAGAAGAAAAGACGAGTCTCAATCCAGGGTTTGGGGTTTAGGGATAGGGGCTTAGGGTTTAGGGTTTAAGGTCCAAGGTTTAGGCCGTCTAAGCTCAACCCCCGCGGAAAAAAACTTAGACTTCGCAACCCTCCGGCCCTCCGAGAAAGATTACCGATCCTCGGCCCGAAACCTGCAGACCCTACTTGAAGGTTCATGGGTAGGAATACGTAGGGTTTTAAGTACCGAAAAAAAGGCTATAACCAGTTACACCTATAGCTGCCCTACTTATAACCCCACTTACAGCTACTCATGAACCTCCAAGTAGACTGCTAAACCCTTTGCCCTTGCTCCCACAAGGTTCGTGGGCACTTGTTAGTAGGGCTGTCTGTACCTAAAATAGGGTGGCGAGTACAGGTAGTTCTGCATACAGCCCTGCTTACGGGCTGCCACGAGGTGTCAAGTAGGACCATTCATGGCTTGGGCGGCTTGGAGATACTCTCCAAGGGACCGCAGGAGGCAGTTCACAGAGTTTTGGAGCGAAATGTTTTTGGTGTTGGGATTTGCGGTGCAAAGTTAAGATTTATTGAATTTATTGCTTAGGGTGCCTGAATCCTCAAGAGCGCCAGATTTTGAGGGTTGCTAATATGTCCAATCTTCAGACATTCCTAAGCAACCTGCAAGACAAGGCTTTGAGCAGCGCCTTTAAACCCGGAGCCCTGTCCCCTAAACCCTAAACCCTAAACCCCAGACCCTAAACCCCAGACCCTAAACCCTAAACCCCAGACCCTAAACCCCAAACCCCAAACCCCAAACCCAGGGCCCAGAGGGCCTCGGACGCCGACCTCAGCCCGGCGAGGCGCCCACCAAGGGAACCGACACGGCTGATGTACCACCTGGGCTTGGTTTGTGGCTAGCTCAAAACCTTCAGGGTTTAGGGTTTAGGGTTTAAGGCTTAGGGTAAAGTATTCCTGAATATGATCCACTTAAACCCAATAAGGGGAAATTTATATAAAATTTCCCAAGGGCCGAGGTAGGTGAGGATAAGGGTCTGAGCGTCGGTGCCAGGGTTTTGGGGGCTTTGCAGCTCACGGTTTAGGGTTTTTTTGAGATTCAGGGTGTTAGGGAGGCTCTGTGAAGGTTCTTCGAAAAGCTTCAGAGATTTAGGCAATCAGGGGCTGCGTGGGTTTTTGTTAGGGCCCAGGGTACCGTTCCGCACGTCCAAGTTCATGGCCGCACCATGCAACCCTCAGCTATATATATAAAGTCCCAAGCAAGCTCTAGCCACTAGCCTCAAGCACACAACAAATTCGCCCGGCCGCTGCCGCTCTGGAAAGAACGGCGCGCAGCCTCTTGCATAGGCCTCAGCGTTCTGCCGCAGCATGGCAGGTTCGTAGAGGTATCCAGCCAGAAGCCCAAATGAAGACCGGAGACCCTGAGCGGACTCATCCCCCCACCAGTGCAAGGAAGACAGCGTAGCACCCTGCTGAAAGTGCAAGTTGGCATCCACATTTGGGCACCGGCCATCCTCCTGGCTTGCCAAGTAGGCTTCGGCTAAGGTGCAGAGCGGCTGTTGCAGCGAAAGGGGCAGCATCCCTAGCGCCAGTGCTGCATTTTGAATTCCTGCTAAGCTTCCGTCCACAACATGGCTTTGGGGAGCCACGACCTGCAAAGAGCATCCATCTTCCAAGAGCACCACCAGAGAGTCTTCTGCGGCACGTCTGAGACGTGTCACCCGCCTGCCAGCATCGGAGGCAATGCTCATCTTCAGATGGGGCCCATCCTCCTCCACAACACTGAAGTTCACCAAGTCACCATCAGAATCAACAAACGACACGTCCAACTTCTGCACAGCCGCTTGATCTGCCTGCCAAGCTCTCAACACGTGGGACAGCAACGACACCAGAGACTCCTGAAAGCCTGCGGCTGCCAGCAGCTCGCATGTCTTGTTTTCCAGCAGCCAGGGAATAAAACCATCCAGCGGTGCCAAGGCAATACACTTCGCACTCCGATGCTGCATCATGCCAAACGCTTCCCTCATCCTCGGGCTGGTTTGGTTGAGTCCCTCCCTAGCTGGGGTCTCACTAAACCCTAAACCCTAAGCCCTAAGCCCTAAACCCTAAACCCTAAACCCTAAACCCTAAACCGCTCTTCAAGTTCGGCCCAGAGTCAAGATCTCTTTCAGCCTGCGCTCCTCAGACTTCTCAAAAACGTCGAGCTTAAAGAGGATATGCACAGACTCATCGTCATCCGGCGGCGTTTGCCTAGGATCCGCTCTTTGAGTCAACTGCCTAAACCCTACAAACTCAAAACGATCTGCCTGGGGGGGATTCCTGTTTAGTTCGGGGATCGTGGAGTACATTTGGGAGAACTGCCCCTTGACCTTGCTCTGGCGTGAAGGCGCCGAAGCGCTAATAAATGTATACATATGTGCATATTTCTATAAACATACATATACATATATATATATATATACATATATACATTTGTACAGACGTATAGGAGATACAGATATACATTGATACGTATACACATATACACATATGTACACATGCACATAGCAAAAAAGAAAACATCTAAACATATAGACATCTAAAACACCCTAAACCCTAAACCCTAAACCCTAAACCCTAAACCCTAAACACAAGCCTGGTCGCCACAGCTCTCCCAGGCAAGCAGGATAATGCGAGGTGGTGGCGGCCCGGACGGTGGCCAGGATGCCTCCTTCAGTGCGAGAACCCCCGGAGATTAAGAAAAAAAAACAAACGCCTGGTTTAGGGTTTAGGGTTTAGGGTTTAGGGTTTGGGGTTTAGGGTTTGGGGTTTAGGGTGCCTGAATGCTAAACATCGAAGTACTTCACCCCCTGAAGGCCACTGCAAATCCTCAGTCCCGGAACCCCTGAATCCTCAATCCTACACCTATTCATCCCGTTGGATCCCTCAACCCCCCCAAAGCCCTGAACCCTAAACCCTCCAAACCCTAAACCCAGACCCGCAGTGGGATCATCAGGCCAGGGGTTAAAGTTACACAGACCTGTTGAACCTACTAAGGGATGTTGAATCTGAAGCAACAAGGTCCTACCCTAGTACAGTTACCCTGCTTGCCCGTGAACCTCCAAGTGGGACGGGGGTTCCAAGGAAGAAGGCAGGTAACCCGAAACCCTAAACCCTAAACCCTAAGCAATAGACCCTAAACCCGCTCACAAACGCTCCCAAAGGTTCCTGAAGCTTCCCTGAGGTTCTCCAGGTTTTGGGGGTTTAGGGTTTAGACCCTAAACCCCCCAAACTTTTTTTTGTTTAAATCCTAAACCCTAAACCCCAAACCCTCCCTTGATTCCCTATTCAAAGTGGAGGGCCCTGCCTTTTCCGGGCGCGTGCGCGAGCGCAAGGCAGCGGTGGTGGAGGGGCCACGGCTGCCGGCCAAGCGATGCACTGAGGGAGTGGCCTACCAGGTGCCCTTTGGGGGCGGGGTTTTGGGTTTGTTTTGGGTCTGGGGTGGTTTAGAGTTTGGGGGTTTAGGGTTTGGGGCAGTTTAGGGCGGTTTAGGGTGGTTTCGGAAGGTTTAGGGTGGTTTAGGGTGGTTTAAGGATTTTTTAGGGTGGTTCAGGGTGGTTTTGGGCGGTTTAGGGTGGTTTAGGATACATTATAGGGGGGTCCTTGTTACAAGGAAATTCTACTGTTTGGGGGGACTGTGTTGGTAATATTTGGGGCCCCTTATTTTCGTAAACCCCCGTTCAAGCTTTGTAGGCTCCCGGGCCTCCAGCTGCCTACGATTTGTTTGTGGCTGGGCTGCAGCTCTGTAGAGTCAGACAGGGACGGTTCTAATCTGAGAGTACGACTGGCAAGAACGTATGAGTAAACAGAGGATGCCCCCACTCTCCAATTACTACTGTCGCCCTAAAAACACAAACACCCTAAACCCTAAACTTAAAACCCTAAACCCTAACCCTAAACCGTAAACCCGAAACCCTACGCCCTATCCGGGTGGAGACGTTTCCCCCCCCCCCCCCACGATGCACAATTCCGTCATGCTCCAAGCTCGGGGTCAAGCCCGAACCCGAAGCGCTGGGTTGACGGACCCTAAACCCTCCTTCGGCCTTCGACACCTAACTTTTTCGATTAGGGTTTAGGGTTTAGGGTTCAGGGTTCAGGGTTCAGGGTTTAGGGTTTAGGGTTCAGGGTTCAGGGATTCGGGCCGGACACAGCCCAGAGTCCCTTTGAGCCCTAGTCCAACCCTGACATGTGAAGCACACCATTTCGAAGCCCAACCTGAACAGAGCAAGTGAACCCAAACCCTAGGGTTTAGGGTTTAGGGTTTCGGGTTTAGGGTTTAGGGTTTGGGGTTTAGGGTTTCGGGTTTAGGGCTTGGGGTCCCCCGCCCACGCCTGGGGTGATGCCCAGCTCCTTCAGTGCCTCGAGCGGGGAGGCACCCAAGCACAGCACCCGCAGCTCGGGCGGCGTCCTGCGCTGTTGGCTTTAGGGTTTTAGGGTTTTAGGGTTTTAGGGTTTTAGGGTTTTGGGGCTTTGGGGTTTTGGGGTTTTAGGGTTTTAGGGTTTTAGGGTTTTAGGGTTTTAGGCTTTTAGGGTTTTAGGGTTTGCGTTTTAGGGTTTTAGTGTTTTAGGGTTTTGGGGTTTTGGGGTTTTAGGGTATAAGGGTTTTAGGGTTTTAGGGTCTTGGCTTCTTAAGTCTTACAGGGTGGTTTCTGTTTGGGGTTGGGCGGGAGGGGGGGGGGGGGGGGGAACCGGTTTCCCCAAGACTGCAGAGGTCTAAAACTTCAAAATGAAGTTCAAGGTTTAGGGTACAAGGTGAGTAGATGGAGCAATACCCTGGGCGTGCTCCCAATGCCCAACCGACTCCATGAGGTTCTGGGAAAAACTGGGCTGGGTTTCGTGCTTCGGGATCAAAAGGGTTTCGGGTTTAGGGTTTAGGGTTTAGGGGGTGGATGTGGAGTTTCCGGCGTGCGAGCTCTACAAGCTCGATCCTGCTGAGATCAGACACCTGCAGGCCTGTAAGCCGGCCCTCAAACCAAGCCCAGAGAAGAGCCAAATCCCTAGACCCGCCTTGTAAAAAACAACCCCAAACCCTGCATCCTCAAAAAGACCCCCCCCCCCCCCACAAAAAAAAAGTGCCTAAACACTACACTGAACGCAGAGCCTGCAAGTGGCGAATGATCTGGCGTCCTGTCTTTGGGCTGGGGGGCGGGGGGAGGAGAGGGGGGAGAGAAGAGGGGCGAGAGAAGACGGGCGAGAGAAGAGGGGCGAGAGAAGAAGGGAGAGAGAAGACAGGGGAGAGAAGAGGGGGGAGGGCGTTTGGGGCTTGGCGGCGTGGAGTCAGTAGGAAGCCCTCGCCCAACTCGCAAAATCCCTTGGCCCCAAAGCCTTGTCTCCGCCCAAGAACCCGACTTAGTTGCTGAGTTCAGAAGCCGCAAAAAAGTGTACACTTTCAGTTCTATAGGGCATCTTAGTAGCCCAAAAAGTGTGAAGTGTGCTCACTCAGCTACTAAGCCTACATCGAAAACAAGCCTAGCCAAGCCCCTGACCGGCGACTGCGGGTCGTTTATCATGCTTCTTGCTCATGCCGGGGGTGAAAAAGGGAAGCATGATGGTAACTACATAGCTCCTCTAACCCTCAACCCTAAACCCTAAACCCTGAACCCTAAACCCTAAACCCTGAACCCTAACCCTAAACCCTAAACCCTAAACCCTAAGCCCTAAACCCTAAACCCTCAACCCTAAACCCTAAACCCTAGCCGAGGCTCGACCCGGGCAGCCGCCAAGCTGCGGCTGAGCAGCGCGCGGGACGGCATGACCACAACGGTCGCATGCAAGGGTTTTAGGGCTTAGGGATTCTAGGGCTTTAGGGTTTATAGGCTTTAGGGTTTAGGGTTTAGGGTGTTTAGGGTTTAGGGTTTCGGGCTTCGGGATTCTAGGGCTTTCGGAGGAGTGGTACTATTTGCTTAAGATTTTTTTTATGTTTTGTCTATGCTTTCGGAGGAGTGGTACTATTTGCTTAAGAACTTTAGGTATCTTATATTTTGTTTAGGCTTCTTATAAGCAAGTCGTAGAGTGTTCATGCCTGCGGCGAATGGCATCCAAAACCCAAAGCCCTCGAGAGTCCTACAGCTTACGAGTTTTCCTTAAGCCCGAAGCCTTCGTAAACTCTCTAAGCCAGGTTGTACCCTTAAAGCCCTTATAGCTCCTTTTTGGGGTTCCTTACAAACTTCGCAAGATAAACTTTGCAGGCCAGATTAAGCCTCAACTTTTCGGGGGTTCCAGGGGTTGGGGCCCGTGCTTGCTCCGGGGATCCGGGCGCCAGTGTAAGGCTTTTTGGGTGTCTCTTCTTGGCCACATTTTTGGGTTCGAGTCCTATAGACCCCAAACACAAACCACCAAACCCTAAGAACATTTTGGGCTTCCTTTGAAAGCCCCCAGATCCTAACTAAACGTTGCCGCTCCTGAGGCTTGTTTTGAGGGGACTTCTTAGGTTCTTGTTACAGGGATTTGGGTTCAGGGTTTAGGGTTTGAAGGTGGTTTTAGTGTATGCAGGTCTTGCACGGCTCTTTGGGCTTAGAGGGCTGAGGGTTGGGCGTTGTGGCGCCTTAATCAGTGCGTTCCTTCTTGAGTGAGACCCTAACCCGAACCCTAAACCCTAAACCCTTTTAAGAGAGGGTTTGCTGTCTCGGCCTTGAAACTTCGCGTTGCGGCACATAAAGCGCCTCTTTTGCGCGCGCGTGCACACCCTGTTGCCTTGCACCTGCAGGGTTCATGTACCTGTATTGCAGATACCTGGGCCTCAAAAGGTACGCTGTATAGGGCCCAAGTATCAAATTCTGTGGACGCGGACCTTAACTCGAAGGCTCAGCGGCATCCGTTGTTGAACTGACCGTCCCCGTTCTCCTGGCAGCACCAGCCCCTTGAATCGCAAAGCCCAAGACCTCCAAAGCCTTCGGCACCAGCAAAGAGTACACAATGAAACGAACAGTAGCCGTTGTCGTAAGAGTCATGACCTTGGGTCATACTAAGAACTATGTAGCGGTAAGTTAGAGAAAAGCGCCAAAGCCCTGTCAGGCCTAGAGCCTGAAGGTTATATCACTAGTCCCAGAGGGGTCACCTGCAAGCAAACCAACTGCAAGTCCATAAGCAAGCAGCGTCCCAAGTAACCATGTCAACTCAGAAGCCCTTGATTTCCGCCCTCAAACCAGCAGCCCTCCATTTAACTCTCTTCTCGTCCCGAGCGCGCAGAGCCTAGCCCCAAAACCCAAAACCCCTAAACCCTGAACCCTAAACCCCGGAAACCTTAAACCCTAAACCCCTAAAACCCTAAAACCCTAAAACCCTAAACCCCTAAACCCCTAGACCCCTAGACCCCTACAGCCCTAACCCCCTCACAAATTCCCCGACAGTCTCCACGCTTCCTTGTCGTAGTTTGGTCCGTTGCCCGGCTCGAGCTTCCTGAGTTTAGGGTTTAGGGTTTAGGGTTTAGGGTTTGGGGTTTGGGGTTTGGGGTTTAGGGTTTAGGGTTTAGGGTTTAGGGTTTAGGGTTTAGGGTTTAGGGTTTAGGGTTTAGGGTTTAGGGTTTAGGGTTTAGGGAGTCTTAGGGTTCGGGGGTCTAGGGGTTTAGGAGTTTAGGGGTTAAGGGGGTTTCGGGTTTAGGGTTTATAACTGCACTTTCATGGGATCCCCAGACAAGGAACCCCTTGAGTATAGTAGGAATGTAATCAGAAATACACCTACCAGGGTCCTTACTTATCACTAGGATGGCCCTTCAAACCCTCTGAACAAACATTGCTCAGTATGACCCTCTTAAAACACAATCAGGGAAGATATGAAATATCCCAAGGGCCTACCCAGACTGGGATCTTTAAGGAGTGTTAGGGTTTGGGGGGTCTAGGGGGGCTGAGGTTTAGGGGGTGAGGGGATTGGGGGATGAGGGTTTAGGAGTCTTAGGGTGTAACTAGGGGTGTTTCGGGGTTTAGGGGATTAGGGTGTAGGGCTGAGGGATAGGGCTTTCAGGAGCTTAAGGAGCTTAAAAATTTTAGGGAGTTTAAGGTTTGGAACTTGAGGGTTTAGGAAATAGCGGTCCCCCGCAACACAAGCCTCTGAAGTTCCAGCCATGTGCTTGTCACCCGGCTTGAATCACAGATCGAACACTACGATTGAAGCACTCGTGTTCGTTTACGTGCCTCATGAATATCCGCCTCAAGTTATCTAACACGCAGCACCTCCTGTCAATGTGTATGTGCAGTCAAGTTCGACTATATCTCTACTACTCCTCAACCCATCCACACCCATAAGCAAGATGCATGTGAAGGGGAGACAAACTACAGTAAGGAAGAGTGGATCACCCCCCTCATTCCACCACGGGCCCCTAAAACCATGGGACACTACCCCATATACTAAGTTTCCTCCCCATACACGGGAGATGCGGATATCAAGACGGAACAATCAGTGGGAGTAAAGCACGTCGTACCCGGTATCAATGTAAGTGAGGTGTGGGAGGTGTAGAAGTGAGAAAGCAACCTGAATTCCGCCGGCCTGAATTCACATGGGCAGTTTGATGGGTTCCTAGGGTGACACGGGCCCTTTCAGCTCATTTAGTGTGCGTAGGACCATATTACAGACAGGGACACGTTCCAAACCGAAGCTTGGACAAGCTTCACCCGAAACCCGTTTGTGAGGTCAGACTCTGAACCTAAACTCCTAAACCTTACTGGTTCATGGGTAGTTGAAAGTGGGTTTAGAAGTAGGGCAACTATAGTCATAACTGGTTATGGCCTTCTTCACGGCACATATACCCTTGCTTAGAACCGCCCATGAGCCTCCAAGTAAACTACCCAAACCGCCAAGCGGCTGGTAGATCCGCCACTTCTTGCCGCCATCCTTCGCACATCGACGCCGCCTCCGTCCGCCATCGTAGCCACGGACGTAGACTTTCTGGGGCTGCCGGCGTCGGCCTTCGAACCCGAAGGGTCCATGTACCCATGTAGTGGAAAAAATTGGGCCGAAAAGGGGGTTCGCATAGCTTTAGGGCTCAAGTGTATACTATAGAAGTACATGGACCCGTCTGACAGCGTCTACTTGAAATCTCATGAGACTTAGTAACTACTTATAGCTGGGCTTATAACCTTGCTTATCATCCCTCCAACTGGAGCTACTTGGGTTACCCCACCTAGAGTTATAAACCCAGCTATAAGTAGCTACTCAGTGCAAGTATGCCTGCGACGAGAACAGCTGCAAATGCATAGCTTGCGCTTACGAAAACTATCGTGTTTGCTTTTCCTCGTGCAATGATTGCGACTGTGGCCAGTACTTGCCGTTATCTGACAGAGGTCTACACGCGGGGTCAATAGGACAAGGGAGGTCGGTAGCCCAGCCATTTGTTCCCTAAACTAGAGGTACCCTTTCGTAGGTTCACGAAGGAATACAGCACTTGGGGTACACACCTCTATTGTTCAAACACATATCCCGATAACACAGAGAGAGAGAGAGGAAGCTTTGTGGGGTACAAAGGTAAGAAGCCATGCGCGGACTCGGATTCTGTAGGCTACCAGCAGGTTTCGTCCTTGGTTCTAGCCGCAATTCAACACCCTAAGACCCTGAACACCCAAACTCCAAAGCCACAATAATACATCTGACACCCGAAGCCGGAGCCCTAGACCGTAAACCCTAAACCCTGACCCACAAACCTTTGAATTCTGAAGCACAAGCCGCCTTGGTCGAGTGTCTCTCCAGCAGTGGAGCTTTGCAAGCAAACCTCCCAAGGCTTCATGTAAGGGTTTAGGGTTTAGGGTTTAGGGTGAGGATTGAGGGTTTGGGGTTTAGGGTTTACACGCGATTGGGGTTTGGGGCTTAGGGATTCAGGGATTCGGGGTTCAGTATGTGCTTTGCCGGCTGGAATGTTGAGCCCCAGTAACCACAAGCTTGTCGGGTTAGCTCAGGATCCAGGCGCTGCTGGGGAGGGGGGGTCTGGAGGTACGAGACTGGTTGCCCGGGCCCGGAGACTGCTTTCACTGTTACTGCTCAGCATCTCCTACACCCATTATCTGCAGTGCCCAACGTTCGGAAAGTCCCGCAGAGAAGTGCTGCATGATGATGGAAAACATATCAAGGTTCAGCTCTTTTTGAAGGGCTGCTGAGGCTGTTTTGAGCTGTTGCTACAAGAACCTCCACCGTCACGAACCCTTCAACATGCCCTGAGCCCCGGGAGCCCCGAACACCCGAGCCCAGGCCTGTCCGAAGGGCCCGGTGACGTCGCGGATGTAGATTTTGAACCTGGAGTTTGGGGGGAGGGTTCGAACCTGGGGGGTTTGGGATTTTGGGGACCGGAGCGGGCGTTTTGCGCGCATAAGGCTTAGGGTTTAGGTTCCGTGTGGAGGGAGCCCCAGTATTCCGCTTGGGGGATTCACATTTAGAAGGCCTATCTGTCCGTACCTGCGGGGTCTTGGCCTGTCTGGGTACTAGGTTTAGGGTTTAGGGTTTAGGGTTTAGGGTTTAGGGTTTAGGGTTCCCTTGCCAAAAACCAAGGAGGAATACAGAGACCCCTAGGATTCCTCAATCAAAAAAACAGGCCTCCACGGTCGAAGGGGCTGGGATGACCTACTACCCGGTAGCTATCCCCACGGTCCTAGCCCTAAACCCTAAGCCCTAAACCCTAAAGCCTACTCTCAACTCAAGCCCCCCCAACCCCCCCCCTCTTAGAGAGGCGCCTCTCCGTGGAAGTCTTCGAGATTCCGATGGAGGCTGCCTTCTCCCCGGACTCGGCAAAATACATCTGCTGATCGTGCCTGCACCATTGTTGGTGGTCCCGACACCCGAAACCCTAAGGCCCTAAGCCTGAAACCCTCAACCCTAAACCCTTATTGGTTTCAAGTTACTAAGTATTCATAAAAGTCCAAGATGCTTCTCAACAATGACCCAGGTGCAATCGCAGGCATTTGGGGTTGTCGTCCGGGTCGCTAATGTCGGCAAAGTACATGTTGTGCATGTACTCGTTACCTTGGTGGCCCAGAAACCATGTCATGCTAAGGGTACCCTTTTTTGGGGTTGGTTCCTTTACAAGGGAACCTTGAACCAAAAAAGGGGCAAAAGGGCACCACTTGGCGACCAAGTTGCAGAGCTTCCGGTCTGTCGTGTACCACCAGTACTGCTTCATCTGTTCGGAGTAGCTGCTGGACATGTGCGTGCAGTCTCGAAAGACCGGCAGGCAATTTCTTTGGTAGTAGTACACCTTGCCCTGGCCGTCCGGCTCGTAGCAATCTGGCGATGCCTGGAGGCACTTGTCCTGCTCATTTTTGATGACGTACTCGGTGCCATCACCACATTTGCTCGGGGGGCCTCCCACCCTGCCACACTTGCCTCCCAACAGGTTGCTCAGCTTGCACTTCACCTTCAGGGCAGTTCTGCACCAACATCTAAGCCCGAGAGTGCTGAAACATAGTAAGCATAACCAGGAAACCCTGCAGAGAAACCGAAACGCCAGGTCGAAAGCCTAGAGGATTTGCAATAGCATCTTCATTAACCCAAAGGCATGCGACGGAAGCTCCCGACTCCCGACTACGTTTGGGGTTCGGGGCTTAGAGCTTAGGGTTTGATGCTGTGCTCCTGATTTGGCAGAACGGCCGCCTTATTGGCAACCTTCTTGCCCTTGTTGACCACTTGCTTGCCTTTGTTTGCCACATCAGGCGTCACATTTAGAAAGGACTCAGAAAGAATCAACAGCAAGCCCACCATCACTTGAAAGTAGGGGCCTTAACAAACAGAATAGGGTTTGGGAGGTTACTATCGTATTATTAAAGGACCCGTAAGGGAACACTACTAGTATTTATTCCGACCCCTATAGTATGCTCGGTTGCTAAACTTACCCTAAACCCTAAACCCTAAACCCTAAACCCTAAACCCTAAACCCTAAACCCTAAACAAGTGCTCAAGCATGCTAGGTTGCTAAACTTGCTTCCAGGACCGCCCACTTTGTCGGAATAGAACTTCGCCACTTCCTCTGCGCCATCCCCAGCGAAGTTGTCGATCTTGTTGAGGACGTACCTCGACATGTCTGGGGCGAAGAGGTTTCGGGTTCAGGGGTGCTGAGGCTGTGCTTCTGATATAAGTTCGCTGTCAAGTTCACGAGCCGCCAGCGAAGCCACAGGCCCTCAATCCCCGGAAGACCCTCGTTCATAGCCCCTCTCCCTCGGAACAGCGAGGCTTCAATTCTTAAGACACCCAGTCCTGAGAGAAAACGTGTAGGCTGCCCCTTGCCCAAGGAAGCCCCAAAACCTAACCCCCCCGGCCTAAAAACCCTAAACCCTAAGCTGCCCCTACAAACCCTAGAGCCCCGAACCCTAAACCCTAAACCCTAAGCCCAAGGAGCTTGGCACCCTGGAGGAAAAGCTCGGCCCAGCCAAGTCGTGCTTTGCACCTGATCGTCCAGAACTTCAAACCCCTGTACTTGGGGTTAGGGTTTAGGGTTTAGGGTGTGGGGTTTGGGGTTTGGGGTTTAGGGTTTAGGGTTGAGGGGCTCGATTTAACCTACAGTTTCATAGGTTGCTTCTACTGACCTTGTTGAAGGGGCCGGTTCGATCTGGGTGCGGGCTTACTGCGGTCCAGGCTTCGTAAGAGCTGACACTGGCACCCCTACTTCGCTGAAGCTAAACAAGTTGCAGTTCGGATGTTTCCCCTTATACTAACAGTCCTTCATAGGGGCGATACTAGGGGGGGTACTACATGTTTACTACTGACCGTCCTTAATAGGGGTGATGATGGGCTGGGGGTTACTATATTCCCTATGAAGGACTCTTTGTCTAAGGTGGAACATCCCAAAGTCGCAGGCTGGATCGATGAGCCCCGCCCCCCCCCCCCCCCCCCCCTCCCCAACAAAAACCCGAAACACCCAGGCCCTCCGACTCCCCAAAACCCTACAAACCCTACAAACCCTACAAACCCTCAAAACCCTCAAAACCCTAGCCTAAGAACCCCAAAAAGCCTTAAAACCCTAAAAACCCTAAAACCCGAAAAAGCCTAAAAGCCTCAAAAAGCCTCAAACCCTAACCCTGAAGCCCCCTAAGCCCGGGACCTGAGCTTCCGGTTGCTGAACTTGAAGACGCATTTAATGGACGTAGCTGAGCCTCCGATCTTCACCTGGACTTGAAGGCTCACGAGTAGCTAAGTATCCTTAACAATGTCATAACCAATTGTAAATATGGTTCCTCGACTTATAACCTGATATGGGGCTGTATAACAACCCCGATGGAAACCTGCTGGTCCCGAAAATGTTATCGTTTTTTTCTCCTTCTCGTTTTACAGTGTATGCGCACAAAACACCGTATTGTTGGCTAGAATTCTTATCGTTTTACAGCGTTTGCTTATGAAAGGGAATGCTTCGGAGCACTTGGTTGGTTTGCATTCCGAAGCCTTGGATCTAGGTGGCTTCAACATCGAGCCTACAGCCGTGGGTTTCAGGGTTCATAACGGGTGTATTTAGGTGCTAGGCCCCAAACCTGAACAACCCATCCTGAAGACGCAAGGCTCTTGATTCAAACCCAAACCTGCGCGGAAACGCCAGCCACAGTGAGGTTTCCGAGGGCGCTTCACCCGGCGCACAATTCAACCACCAGGCCTCCAGAGACACCCCAAGACCAGAGTCACCACAGGGCACGCATCTTCAACCCTGGAATGGTCCAGGTCCTTCAACAAACCCCATCGTGAACAGAAAGTTATCGTTCTGGCTATTGTTTTGTTATCGTTTTTGACCTAAAGAATTAGGGGTGTGAGGGGTGTAAGGGGTGTTAGGCGGGTAAGGGGCCACACACCAAAAACCCTGCAGAAAGTTATCGTTTTGTTTTACTCCTTATCGTTTTACAAGCTAAACGATACTCGGGCGCACTCCTTTCTAAACCGCAAGCCGCGGGGTTCTTATACAACCCCATATGACTACCCATGAACCTCCGAGCGTGTCCCCTCGGAGTCTCTGGTTTTCGGGTTTAGGCGTCGGGGTTTATAGGGGTTAGGGTGTTTAAGGCGCTTAAGGTTTTAGGGCTTGGGGGTGTTTAGGGCTTCCTGAAAACCCCCTGGACTGAAGAACGCTGCACAGGTCTCTATCTACGATGACAGGCTAGGTCTCTGTCTACGATGACAGGCTTGCTTGGCAGGCCCAAGCACCTCTGTTCCTCAAACTTCCGATTGCAAACACTAAACCCTAAACCCTAAACCCTAAACCCAAAACCCTAAACCCTAAACCCTAAACCCTAAACCCTAAACCCTAAACCCTAAACCGCATCGCGACAAGGATTTCCCTGAGCCGCTCTCCGCGAAACCCTGATAAGCCACGAATCCCAAACCCCGAAACCTAAAGCGCATGGTTTAGGTGTCAGGGCCTACCCAGAGGAGTCTGTTTACCCCATACCCCTGCAAAGAAATGAGCACGCACCTTGAATATTGGGCATTTATACCCCACGTGATAAGTTTCGGCGACCCGCCATATGACAGGTACCCCAAAACTGGATCTAGAAATCACAAGCCCCATCCAAACAAAGGCTACCTGGGACCCTATTTACCTACAGTTTTAACTTATGCCTACTAAGTAGGGGGCACTTGCTACTAATCTGTAGGTAAATAGGGCCCCAGGTACTCTGTGTTTCGGTTTAGGGATCTATCTGGTTTTAGAAGGTCATAGGAACTTTTGCCGGGCATTGCATAGGGTAGTATTTTCAGACAGGGGCTCCCTGGTTGCAGGGTTTAGGGCTTAGGGCTAGGGTTGAGGGTTTAGGGTTTGGGGTTTAGGGCTTAGGGTTTAGGGCTTCGGGCTTAGATTAGGGCGTACCTCGGCGTCGAAGCCCACGCCCGCGGTGTTCAAGAAGAAGCCGATGCCCTGGCTGCCAGACAGCGAGATGCCACCTTACTGGGGTTGAAAGGTTCGGGGTGCCAGTTGTCGGTTTTCAGGGTTTAGGGGTTTCGGGTTGCTGGCTGAGTCTCTTCTGTAGGGTCGGAACAACGGCCTCTGTTTTTACTTTAGACTCTTATTGGAGGGGCTTAGAGCGCTCAACAAATAGAAAGGTTGCATGCTCAGCACCTAAGCTGCTGTCGATGTCGACGCCCGCCACGTCCAGCAGCCCACCAATCTGGCCCACAACCTCGGTCGCTGGCCATATACCCGAAAATCCAAGACTCTAAAACCCTAAAACCCTAAAACCCAAAAACCCTAAAACCCAAAAACCCTAGAACCCTACCCTAAGACCCTAAAACCCTAAAACCCTAAAACCCTAGAACCCTAGAACCCTAAAACCCTAAAACCCTAAAACCCTAAAACCCTAAAACGCCTAAAACCCCTAAAACCCCTAAAACCCCTAAAACCCCTAAAACCCTAAAACCCTAAAACGCCTAAAACGCCTAAAACCCCTAAAAACCCTAAAACCCTAAAACCCCAAAAACCCTAAAACCCCTAAAACCCCTAAAACCCCTAAAACCCCTAAAACCCCTAAAACCCCTAAAACCCCTAAAACCCCTAAAACCCCTAAAACCCCTAAACCCCCTCAACCTCATGGGCTTTCGCGAACGGAAAAAAGCTGCTGCGTTGCGAGCCCCGCGCACACTCTGCACGATGGAGTCCACGAAGGAGCCCATATCCTGTACTGAACTTCCGGAACCCTAGCAAAAATCAGAATCTTGGCTGTTTCTTCGGAATTGCAGTACCCAAATATCAAAAATGACTCCCCAGAATCCACAAGTATCCGCGGAGAAGTAGAAGTAGAGCCCGGGAAGATGGGAGGTTGCCTGGACAGCACGGTAGATGACGGATTTTGGAGGGGAGTTTAGAAAGCTTGCTTGGACAACGTTATGGCCGTTCGTCTGTTTAAGCACTGACAATAGCTATTTAGAACTCTTTCATAACGTCGCATTAGCTGCACTTGTTCAATTCAACCTTAACTATTCGAAACAAAACTTAACCAATTTCACTTCATATTGAATTGCTGGAACTATTTTACGGTTTTTTTGTATGGCGGTTGTTCGAAATTGCTTCACGGGAAAACGACCATTCTTCGCGAAACGCTATTTGTCTTTCGCGGGCCCATCGCGGACTTTCGCGGCGGAGCCTATCTTACACACGTAGTAGATACTAGAGCTATGATATATATATATATATATACATATAAATATAAAAATATATATATATATGTATGTATATCATGTATATTGTATATCCATGTTTCACAGAAGGCCTGCACCAGGGAAAACAATCTCTCTAAAGTCTAAAGTAGCATGTGGCAAATCTTCCCAAAATCGAAAACCCGAAAGCCTGAAAAAAACCCTAAGCCCTGGGCTTCAAACCCTCAGCCCTAAACCCATCCACAGTGCATCGATTCTTTGGATTGCCAAGCCCTTTCTCTTCACGAGGTCTCTGAGGAGGAGTCGGAGGAATCGGAGGACGACGACGAGCTGGAGGAGCCAGCAGATCCCTCACCAGCCTGAGCCGCAGCCAGCTTGCGTTCTCTGGCCGCCCGGCGCATCTCGAGCGCACGCGCTTGTCGCGCGGCTTGGTCCTGCCACTCTGTCGTTAGCCTGGCCGGACCCACATGCTTTTGCGCGTCTTGGCGCGACATGAGGCTAGAATTCTTCCCTCGCAAAGGCTTGGCTACTAGCCAATTTCGATTCCCAAAATACCCCTTGCGCCAGTTCCGGTCCTCTATGGGTTCCTCGCGAATGACAGGAACGAAGCTCGTTGCAGGCCCCCCATGCTCGTCGGAGAAGATCTTGTTCACCATTTGAAGCCGATCATACCGACCTGCGTAAGGTTGCATTCGTAAGCAATACGTGCGCTGTATCTGAAAGTCGTCGACTGCCATGACATACTGTTTTGCTGGCTTCTGATCTGAGTCGTACTGCACCACATCCCAGCGAACTCCATCGGGATCCTGCCTGTTGGCCTTGTCTGCGCCTTGCTTGCATACCTGCACCAGATCACTGAATGAGCAAACCGTTCTGCCGGGGCCATGGTTCAAGTACTCCTGTATCCAAGCATTTACAGAAGCGAAGCAGCTGTCCACAACGCCCTTGCCATGCTTCTCGCAGTGGTAGTTCAGCGTTGTGGGGCATTTGAAGTGTTCAAAGTACGTCTTAGCCAGTGCCGCCACCAAGCTGTATGAGCGAAAGTGTCCGCCGCAGTCCATCCAGATCTCGAGTCCATCAATGGCACCTGCAAGTCGTGTCAGAAAGGTTTCCTTGGGTTAAACGTCTAGGTTAGGGTTTAAGGTTTAGAGTTCAGAGTTTAGGGTTGAGGGATTGTAACGGTCGAAGACCTGGTCCGCGGAGGAACTTCTTTGTCTCCTCGAAGAAAATAGAGCTCGCCAGGCTGGTGTGTTCTATGATCTCTGTCAGGAAGACAACATTCCGCTGTCTAACACCATTGGCTGCGCCCTCATATATCACGAACGCTATGCAAGACACTTCTTGCCGCGATGGTCCGTAGAACATGTTGGCCGTCTGCACAGTCGCTAATGGGATCGTGAGGTTTTGTTTCCAGTCTGTCCATATCAAGCAATGCCTCAAAGGCAACTTGGTGCGTTGCTGGAAGACTGCACTCGTCTGCCTCTCCGCAGTTTGCTTGTGCCAGACGTAGGACTCTGCCACACGAAGTTCCCAGCGTAGCTCGTGCAGAATCCTAGCCTCCAAGCTGTGTAGGTCGATGGCGGCTGCTCCTTTCACAGCTTTCGCACGCATGCTGCGGTTTTTCTCCGCGTGCTTATCAATGTAAACAACCCATGCCTTGGCTCGCTCCAAAATGGGCTCGCTGTCACCGCTGCAAAGAGCATCAAAGTAGCTTGGCAGGAACTGGCAAAGAGAGGCCCGGGCATCGTTGAGAAACTTTTTGAGGCCCGGCTCCAAGCTTGAGTGCCAGTACACGCAATGATCGCACATGTCAGTCTTGCGCTGGGCAGGCTTTGCCCATGCATGGCAGTTGTCCATGAATATACGATACCATTGCGACCACTTGAGTTTCTTCGTGTAGCCGCAGCCCAGCCACATGCTGAACAGCGAGCTCTGAAGAACACGCTGATGCCGCCCCTCGGCCGGAAGCCAGATGGACGAGTCTTGGCTATTTGCCAGCACGGTCTCCGTGACCGAGCGTATGAACTCCGGATCGGTCACCTTTGAAGGTCGTCCTTGCACACTCGGGTTCCGGGAAAAAAAAAAGGGTCTGCGCGGTTTAGGGCTAAAAATGTCATATTTCACAGCATAGTCTAGGGTTAGGGGCTTCATCCCTCACAAACTGGGGTTCAGGGCAGTTACGCATCACGAGGCATTGCAATCCTCGTGGGTCCCGCCACTCAGCACCCTCTTCCTCTGCTCTTGCTGCCTTGACAGTCAGTGATGCTGCACAAGTTGGGGCTGCAGTCTTCAACTACAAGGTCTTAAGTGACAGGTTTGTTTTTGCAGTGATACTGTTCAGCTTTGATGGCCCGAAGCCTGGAAACGACCGCGCGAGATCTGGATGTCCAATGCCCGCAGCTGGTGTCGCTTCAGCGCAGTCTGAACCAAAACACGGTCCAAGGGCCGCAGATCTCCCTGGGAGGCCGCGAGCTCTGCTCTGTATGTCTGCACTGCCTTCCCAAGCTTCTCGCAGGTGCCACACAATGGCGGACCTTGCTCGTTCTTGCCAAACGCGGCCTCCACCTTTCGACGTACGGCTGTCAAAATGGCATTCGCCCCCTCCATATCCGACGCCTTGCTGAGGATTTGCTCAGCAAGGTTCTTGGCCAGCCGCCGCAGCTGCCGCCCAGGATGCTGACACTGCTGGAACACACCTGCTGAAGCAGGAGTCTCCGGTCCCTCTTCACGCGCATCCTCCTGCTGGGCGCAGTGGGATGTCGCGGTGAACTCCGGTGCCACTGAAGCTGCCGTGGCAGCCGCCTGCGAAGAGGAAGAAGCGGAAAGGAGCTTGAGGGAAGAGGAAGAAGTGGAAAGGAACTCCAAGGCTCGTGCGTCAGCCACACCAGTGCGAACCGCCTTTGCCAAGGGAGAAATAGCATCCTGAATCTCGTCCGAGGCCTGCTGGAAGAACTGGTAGGCGAGCTGCTTCCGGGTGTTTCCTAGCTTTGCTGAAGGATCCCTTGCAAGGTGCTCCTTTGCTGCTGTGGTCAGTGCATCGCCAAGCGCACTGACAGCGCGGGCGCGGCATTCCGCCGCCAGGGAAGCCTTCTGTGGGCCGGTCAGGGCTGCGTCATCGGCAGGGCGCTTTGCACCCCGACGCTCAGGGCGCTTTCTCGGAGGCGCACCATCAGCTTGCCACTGGCCGAAGGCTGCCACTATGTCCATGCTACACAGGTTTTAGACTTCAACTGGGTGGATGGATGGATGCCTTATGTTGCACCTGTGTCTTTCGCGGAAACTTTCGCGAAGCCTTCGCGAGACTTTCGCAAACTAACTAGGTAGGAAACACCAAAACTAGCCACACATTAAGTTGACCACTGCTTCGAGCCTCTCCTAGCAGCTTGGGCGAAGCCTTCGCGAGACTTTCGCAAACTAACTAGGTAGGAAACAACAAAACTAGCCACACATTAAGTTGACCTTCGAGCCTCTCCTAGCAGCTTGGAGGGCATCAGGGGTGGGCCTTCGGCTTGGAGGGCTGTTTCTGGCTTTGGGTCTAGGGGTGGGTTTAGGATGTCGGATTTCAGGTCTCAGGCGTAGGTAGGACTTGGGCTTTGCGGTTTCAGGCTTTGGGTTTGGGATTTCGGCTTTGGGGGTTGTTTCAGGTTTGCGGTTGCGGTTTAGGATTTCGGCTTTCAGGTTTTAGGTGTAGGTAGGACTTGGGCTTTGAAGGCTGTTTCAGGCTTTGGGTTTGGGATCTCGGCTTTGGGCCTGTTTCTGGTTTCAGGTTTTGGGCTTGGGTGGGGTTTGGGTTGAGGATGTCGGCTTTCGGGGTTGTGTTTGGCTCAGGGCCCTCCCACACAGACCCAAAACCCTTCAAACCCCAACGGCGAAATTAGAGAACGCCCTCAGAAGCCTACTGAGACTTAGCGGCGTGAGTTCTTGAGAGACTCGGTGAGGCTCTATGGTGTAGGGTTTGAGGTTGCAAGTTTCGGGTTGAGGCTTCAAGGATTAGGGTTTAGGGTTTTTGAGAAGGAGGGAAGGTTCCCAACAGGCGATGATGAATCCCAGGGAATAGAGAGACTGTTATGTTCATGCCGGGTTCTAAGGGGAGTATAACCTGAGACTACGCAAGGTTTCTGTGTGGCTTGCGCTTGTCCCTGCGAAGTAATAAGGATACTTTCTACAAAGCTGTCTTAGGGTTTAGGGTTTAGGGTTTAGGGTTTAGGGCTGGTAGAGTTACATGACAACTTGTCCCGAAACCCTGTGCCAGTACCTGACATTCTCAGCTCCACATCCGGAATCCTGCTCAACCCTAAACCCTAAACCCTAAACCCTCAACCCTCAACCCTCAACCCTCAACCCTCAACCCTCAACCCTCAACCCTCAGCCCTAACCAGCATGCGCCTTGAGGTTGAGATTTGAGGGAGCTTTAAAACCCTATTGTAAACCCTCATCCCAAATTAACGCCAGCTTCCCAACTTTGATGGTTGTTTGTTTAGGGCTCAGGTTTCAACCCTATAGGGTTTAGGGTTTAGGGTGCCCAACTTTGATCGATGAATTCCTGGGGAGTGGGGGAGCGGGTGGAGGGGTTCGGAAGGCCACTGAATCCCAAACACGGACGCCATACCCCAACCCTTCTGCTGAAGCACGTCTCTGGACAAAAACCAGCACCTTGCCACCTCCCTGGTCTGGCTTAGGGTTAGGGTTAGGGTTTAGGGTTTAGGGTTTGGGGTTTAGGGTTTAGGTTTAGGGTTTAGGGTTTAGGGTTTAGGGTTTAGTGTTTAGGGTTTAGGGCTTAGGTTTTAGGGTTTAGGGTCTAGGGTCTAGGGCTTAGGGTTTAGGGTTTAGCGTTTGGCTTTTGGGTTTAAGGATTTGTCTGTAAGGTTTAGGGTCTGGGGTTTAGGGGGTTAAACCCTAAACCCTAAAACCCTAAACCCTAAACCCCTAAACCCTAATCACGACCGAAACATTGAAAGCCGCGCCTCACACCCGAAACCCAAGCCATCTACTGGAAGGCTCACAGGTAGCTCAGGCTACTTGCTGTTCTTTTACTGCACACACTCACACACGCTTGGATCCCCGCAGCGCGTGATGATTCCACAGCTAAAGCAGGCTCAAGGTGTGTTTCACGCATTCTTGGCCTGGTCTAGTAGAGGCACTAGCACCTTCGCAATTTTGCGGGCTGTACGTGTCAGCGCCACATCCTCATCTGTCATGGCACGCTTTCGTGCTTCGAGGACCTCTTTCGCTACCGAGATTCGCCCTGCAGCGTCCACCCGCTGCCATGACTGATGGCCATACGTCTTCCTAATCTTGCCAATACAATCTGAACAAGCACGGCCAAAGAAACCCTGCTCTGTGCGAGGGATGTTACAGATCACACAGGGCTTACCTTTGTGAGCATGAGCCTCAGTGCCACCAAATCCGGGTCCACCAAAGTGCTTCCCTTTGGATGACGGCCCAGGCTTGTCTGACTCCTGGGGCGGCAGGGCCATGTGAAACGCTCACAGCTGCCTACTCTCACAATTTGGTTTTTGACCCTGACCCTGCACAAAGTGGATTAGTTGGCCCAACCTTGTCTGGAACATTGGATTCCGCAGAATCTCCTGCTCCAGGGCCCCGCTCTGGAACTGCTCCTGGGCCGCTTGCCTGCAAAAGGACACCCCAAGCCAAGGCCCTCATGCAACCACACATTTTCCCCATCTGACATCATGGCCTGTGGATCTTCAAGCTCTTTCTTACGGCTTTCTGCCCCCGTCACGCACTGGAGATCAACGCCATCTCCTCCCACTAGCGCCCTGGCCACCATCGCCCTGATCTCTAAGTCGAGGGCATGCTTTGGCCATGTCACTTTGAGCTCAGCTGCTAAGGAGTAGAGCTCAGATTGCGAGAGGCGGGCCACCTGTCCCACCGTGCGCGTTTTGGGGGGCATGGCTGAACCTAGCACTTGGAGCACTCAGCTTGAGCAAAAACACAGGCTCTGCCACAACACGTCAACCAAAGGGGTACCTCCCTGGGTCTTGCAAAAAGAATCAGGGCTGCCACTAGGTTTGTGGCCGCGGCATTTGTAGGTTTAGAGGTCAGCAGCCTAAGAGCCAGACTCGAAGCCCGAAACCAATAACCCTGTAACCTCCTTCTGGATTTAGGCTGCAACCATCCCATCTCTTGTGCTATTACTGACTAGATACATACACAAACTATCAGTGACATGTTCTAATAGAAAACAGTACTAACGCAATATTTCTTCGCGAAACGCTATTTGTCTTTCGCGGGCCCATCGCGGACTTTCGCGGACCGTCGTTTCCATCATCTGATGGTCGCCCCAATACAACTCAAAGACAAGGGGGGTTTTGAACAACCCTCGTATAACTCCTGCTCATGTTAGGATCGATGTTCAAATATGGTGTTCAATAATGCCAGTTATGTGCGTTTATTGAAGGAAGTACTGTTAAACTCTCTGCAGCAATCAAGTACTTAGGCATGGGTGCGAACTGTGACTCTTTTTGATTTAACGACGGCTAGTTTCGACATACTTCTTACTTGAAGCAACTAGTCTTCACTGCGCTTTTTCAACTTAGTTAATTTGATTTCGCGGCAGCTACGGAGTTTCAACAATTGCAGCGAATTCTATCTAAGCTTACATACCTTGATGTCTCCCTACGTAAACCCTAAACCCTAAACCCTAAACCCTAACCCTAAACCCTAAACCATTGGAGTGCGGTCTTTTGCTGCCTGTAGCGTCGCTTCGAAGTTCCCCTTGCTGTCTTGCCTACTGCTAGCGGTTGCCACGGTGCCCTCTTTCTGCTTAGGGTTTAGGGTTTAGGGTTTAGGGTTTAGGGTTTAGGGTTTAGGGTTTAGGGTTTAGGGTTTAGGGTTTAGGGTTTAGGGTTTAGGGTTTAGGGTTTAGGGTTTAGGGTTTAGGGTTTAGGGCCTCTTTCTACAAAGTCACGCTTTTGGGACACAAACGAAAAGAAAAGCGCGATCTGAGACTCTCCACTCCACAGTTGGAACTTCCATCTTGAATGCAAGTCCAGGGAAATTGTTTGCGTTGTTGGTTTCTCGGTTCTCGAAATTGGCGAGAGCTGCTGTAACAATAACAACAACAGAAAGCATAATACAAAGCTGTACAGCAATGCTCCATGCTGGCGGCTGCAACGCTTGTAGTTGGGGTTGAAAAGGGGTAAATGTGCTTTCTATGAGAGCTGCTTCGCAACAATGTAAAGCCCGGAGCCCTAAACCCCAAACCCGAAAACCTAAACCCTACCCTCAGCCCTAAATCCTGATTCGGAAGGAGAAACGGGCCGCCCTATAAGCCTTAGAATGAAATCTTGTAAAGGCCGGCGGGCTCGTTGTTCGTGACCTCCATACCTCAATCTAGTCCCTATAATACCCCCCCCCCCCCCCCCCCCCAATAAGAGCCCTAGCTTATATATATATATATATACATCCTCTATAAAAACAGAAACCCCATTTCAAGAGACCACCAGCCTATGTGAACGAAATGGATGTGGATGGAGACTAGGGCGTGGGCTTGGGGTGCCATGGAACTTTCCTCTCTTTCTGGAACTGGACTGGGGCATGGCTTGGGTGTACTTGGGGCCTTAATGATTAGAATAGGGTTTCGGGGTGTATTGTAGCATATTTGACTATAAAGGAACCATAAGGGGTTACTACCAGAAATTATTCCGACCCCTATGTTAGGGCTTGGGGCTGAGGGTATTGAGACGTCCTCCGCTGACTTTCCAGGGCAAAAGTTGCTTAGGTCTGAGTGAGCGTTTAGGTACCCTTTCAACCTGCAAAGCCTACACCCAAAGACCCGAAAGCCTAAAGCCTAAAGCCCGAGGTTTAAGGTTTAGGGTTTAGGCTTTAGGGTGTAGATCTCCGGCACCTTGCTGGGATCACTGCTGGTCGGCGGTGCCATGCGCAGCATCATTGAAGCGGACCTTCCAGAGATCTTAATACACCGCATAATAAGAGCATTCTACCCTGACTCCGAACACTCTGAACCCCCAAACCCTAAAACCCAAAACCGTGAAACGACCCCTCCCCTTAAAAAAAAAACAGCCTAAAGACCAGAAACCCTACCCGTGGCTCCCAAACCCTACAAGACAGTAGGTTAATAAGGGGCCCTCGAAAGATAGGGGCCCCTAAACCCTAAACCCTAAACCCTAAACCCTAAACCCTAAACCCTAAACCCTAAACCCTAAACCCTAAACCCTAAACCCTGAACCCTAAACCCTAGATGGAGCCCCAAGAGCCGAACTTTTGGGGGGAGCCCTTCGGGCTTTCGGGCTTTCGTGCAGTTGGAACTCCTGTTGCTTGAATATTCCAGGCTTTCCGAACCCCTGAGCCCAGACAGTGCCAGACAGTGGGCCACTTGAAGCTTCCCCTAAACCCTTAAAGACCCTAAACCCTAAATCCTAAACCAAGGCAATGCGCGGTTTGGGGTCTAGGGTCTAGTAGTTTAGGGTTTAGGGTTTAGGAGTTTAGGGTCTAGCAGTGTAGGATTTGGCGTTTGGGGCCTCAGGGTTCTCCCTGGGTACCGACTACGCGGAAGAATTGAGAAGAAGGCTTGTAACTCCAGTTCAGGCACCCGGAACCTAACCCCCCAAAGCACCCAAACCGTCCGACCATGAACCCTAAACCCTGAATCCGAAACCCTGAAACCCTGGGGTAAACCCTCACTCCTAAACCTAAACCCTAAATCCCAAACCGTGAACCCTAAACCCTCAAGCCGAAGTTTCAGGGCTCTGGGAGTTCTCTGCGGCCGGGCGGCAGCTGGAAGGACGTGTCCGGCAAAATGCCTGTAGTAGGTCCTGATGGGCTCAAGAACGCCGAGAACCCCAAAGCAGGATGTGTGGGGTTGGGGTTTGTTGGGGTTGGGGTTTGTTGGGTTTGGGGTTTGGGGTTTGGGGTTTGGGGTTTGGGGTTTGGGGTTTGGGGTTTGGGGGTTTGGGGTTTGGGGGTTTGGGGGTTTGGGGGTTTGGGGTTTGGGGTTTGGGGTTTGGGGGGTACCTGGGCCACGAAGCGGCTACTATGCAATCGTTCCTCTTGCATCAAAGCATCCCAATGCACGGATACATTGGTCCTTTGTGCCTACTTGATGCACGTCTGGACATGACTTGGGACATGTACCCCTGCCTAGGTTCGTCAGAGATATCATGCCCCACCCCATTCGGAATGAGGTCCAGAACCCTTAGGCACCCAAAGTCCAAAACCCTAAACCCTAAACCCTACAAAACCTCGACTCGAGAACGCCAACGCTTTGAAGCCCTGCAGCCATACTCCAGGGGGAGCGGAGGGCGGATCGGGGGCGCATGGGGCCCTCTTCACACAAGGGAAATGTTCAAAAAACAACGACATGGAGCCAAAGAGCCCAGAACTAGGTAAACCTTCCAGGTTTGAGTTTTTGGGTTTAGGGTTTCGGGTTTAGGTTTTAAGCTTTAGGGCTTAGGGTGTCCCCCCTCCCGCCCCCCCGCCCCCAAAATCCCCAAATAGCAACTCCAAAGCCCGAACCCTCCCTTGCAGTAAGTCCTGAAATCCTGGAAATGCAACAGGCAATGAATGAGGACGTTCTAAAATCTCAAGGGAAAAGTCGCAGGATACACTGAAGGCTTGAAGGGGCACAAAGAGAGGTCTTGTTGAAGCTTTCTAGGCTTTTTCAAGCCTTCAGAAGCCTTCTGGAGCCTTAAAAGCGCGTCCATTTTCGTGAAAATTGGACAAATTGGGGTCCACCACACAAATGGCAATTCCCGCAATGATGTCCATTACGGTTTACAAGCAAAACGTCCGATTTTTTGGATCCCTTCGAAATCCAAAATTTGAAGAGAAAAGTCGCAGGATACGCTGAAGGCTTGAAGCCTTGCAAGGACGACAGCGACGTAGGGATTCCCCAGGCGGACAGAAGTTCATGGTTGGGATAATACTAAAAAACTCAAATTTATGTTCCTTATTGGGTTTAAGTACCCTTAAATTCAAATTTATGTTCCTTGTTGGGTTTAAGTACCCTCAAGAATGTAAAATGGTACCCAACTATGACAAAGGACAACTATTGGCCTTTACATAGGCTCCTTTGTTGAACTCCAGGGGCTTTCAGGGTAGTTACATAGTCCCCTTCATATGGGGCCCCTGAAATGGGGACCCCTTATATACCCTAACACCCCGTACTTCTGAACCCCTTAGAGGAGGTACGGGACCAGATTAAGGGACCATTTTTGCTAACCTTGGTGGGGTTTCCCTGAACCCAAAACCCTAACCCCTAAACCCTAAACCCTAACCCCTAACCCCTAACCCCTAAACCCTAAAATAGTTCAAGCCGGGGTCCTGAGAGCGCCAGCGTCACGTAGCCGGTGGCGACAAACATCAACGTGGCCCTCAGGGCGGGGTAGGGTTTCAGGGTTTAGGGTTTTGGGGGTTTAGGGTTTTAGGGTTTAGGGTTTTGGGGGTTTAGGGTTTTAGGGTTTCAGGATTTTGGGGTTTTGGGGTTTTAGGGTCTGAGGGTTAGGGTTTTAAGGTTTTAGGGTTTAGGGTTTTAGGGTTTTAGGGTTTTAGGGTTTTAGGGTTTTGGGGTTTTGGGGTTTTAGGGGTTTTAGGGGTTTTAGGGGTTTTAGGGTTTTAGGGTTTTAGGGTTTTAGGGTTTTAGGGTTTTAGGGTTTTACAGTTTTGGTGCTTTAGGGGTTTGGGGCTTTAGGGCTTTTAGGGTTTTAGGGTTTTGGAGGTTTGGCCTTTTGGCGTTTTGGTGTTTTAGGGTTTTGGGGTTTTGGGGTTTTAGGGTGTTCGGGTTTTAGGGTTTAGGGTTTAGCTTTTAGGAACCCCCCTCCCTTGGGATCTGCCTCGGCCCACGAACAGACAAATAAAGGGTTTTGCACTAGACATAGCACAAAATACCAGCACCAGAACGCCTGATCGAGTTTGGACCTGAGTTTAGGGTCT